CTATTTTTAATATATTACTATTAAATATATGTTCATGATTTAATAATTAATTTTTCGTATAGTATATATATTCGAGGATACCCGTCTATTAAGACGGCTAGCCAATCCCTATTGCAGACGCTTGCTCAGGCTCACTTGTATTTATTCAACACCTACAGAGCCCAGCCGTGGTTTATATACTGCAACTATGCTGAGCAGACCTTAGTTACAGTTTCTAGAAAAGTCAGTGTTATCTAACGTGATCAACAATTTGAACGAGGCCTGCATGCTAACACAGCTATCTACGACACCTAAGAGTTCTGTCTACCCGATTTCACTCACAAGATTTCAAAATTATTGGAGATTACCAACCTGGATACCTATACGAAAATGTTAAAATACATAAACTTGTATATCCATTTGACATGGGTCCTTACCTATAACTACAGAATGAACTCTTCCTAACACTATGTATACTACGCCTCTCAAGAGTGAGGGTCGAATCAAGCCGAGCTTCTCGGCTTGGCGGTCGAACTCTCTGCCTCTGAGCAGAGAGGAACCCGGACGAGGCTCCGCCGAAGGGCAGAGTCTCGTTCGGGGAGAATGACCAACCCGATCCCGTTTATACGGGTTCTACGGGCATTTTTTGGCCAAGCCTACGGGCTCGGGAAACCCACGTTAAACTCGGTCTTGTACCACATGCAACCCTCGTTCTAGATACCGAATCGAGTCGAGCCGATAGTAGTTCACTCCAAACCAGACTGACAGTCATGCTAACACCTTCCACATCTTGTATTATTATTTCGTGTAATATACCTTTGTTATTTCTACTCTTGTGTTCGTGTTGTTCTTCCTTGGTCCTAACCTAGACCATAACACCTATAATTTCACAGATTACAACATCTATTTATCAGTCTCCAATAATATTATATATGGCATGGTTTTCCGAAGTTGCCACACGCTGCGATCGACTCCTCCAAGTGGATAAAATCAGAAAGTCTCCGTCTTGACAAATCGACCATGGTGAGATTCGAACCTGGGTTTCATGGTCAAAATGCGAACGTGCTAAACACACGGCCACGTTCGCATAGACTAATTTCTCATATTTAAATTTAAAATAATTCTAAATATGAATATTCCCCACTCGAATATATAATTTTTAATATTCTTTTTTTTACATACATAAAAAATTCCACTTATTTTAATTGCCAAGTATATTTTTCACATTTTAAAATTAAAACAAACCATCCTGGGTAAGACGATAAACTACATCCAGCAGCAAGGCCTCTGATCAGGAGGTTTTGAGAAGCGTGAAACCACCTCTTAATTGCTGGTGTTCCTAGGTCCACCCTAACCCGCGGTGGTAGCACCTGTTAGGGTCCCAGCTATGGGAAAATAGTTAACCCCCAAACTGAGGTAAAAGCCTTATAAAAGTGTAAACATAGATTTTAATACCAGAAATACTTTTTTTTTTAAATTATTACCAGAGATAATTTTTTGAAAAGAAAAACTATTAACAGCAATATGTTTTTGGAAAAAAATATTACCAGCAATACATTTTTTAAAATAATATTACCAACTATACATTTTTGAGGAAATAAAATATTACCAGAAATGACCCATTTAGGTTGATATACCGTAAAACAAAACTAACAAACAAACAAAATTAAAACAAAACACCTGTAATCCCAGCATAATATATAAATACACCAACATTGTGATAATCAGATAGATTATGGTTCAAAATTGTGTAACGTTCAATTTATACTCAGCACCTGAAGATAGCATGGTACATGAAACGCAGAGTTGTACTAGCGGCGAGAGATACTATGTATATTTATTAATATATAATTAATAGCTGTGTTATATTACATTGAGCACTCTTTTATTAACACCAGGACTATATATATATATATATATATATATATATATATATATATATATTTAAATTATGAAGAACTTGGTAATCTGTATGGGTAATCCCAAGGAGGATGAAATCCTGAGAGCTCAATGTCAATCCAGAGCTAATATTTAAAAGAAAAACAGACCACTTTAAGGTACCGTTATAATAATTTATTTCACCAGAGTTCTTTTAAAGGGCACCAGATCATCAGATAGCACTTCCAAAAATGAAATGAAATTAAAAATGATGGGTAGTGTAAGTTTTTGTAATTTAACAGAGAGTGTAAAAGGGATAGTTAAAGAGACATGGTAGAGATAGGGAGGGATTAATTTCATATCTTTCTCAAGTATACTTTGTATTGCGGGAGGAGGAGTGACCAGACCTTGACCTATTTAGACGGTTAACTTAACGGAAGTGATATATGGAAATGGGAGGGGAGTAGGGAGAAAAGAAAAATGAAAAAGAAAGAAGAGGGAGAGGGAAGTAAAGAGAAAGAGGCTGTAATTGGGTTTTAGCAATTTATGTAAAGAATAGATTTTAATGCTTGATAGTAATTTAGATGTCTGAAAAAATTTGATGTTTGCTATCAATTTAAATATTTAATTTTTTTAAACAAATAGTTTAGGGATTTAATATAAGTTAAATACTATATTCATTAACACATTTATAGAGAACATATTAAAAAAATATATTTTAAATTATAACAGTTTGTTTACCCGACCAAACGTACTTTTTAATATTGTAAAAATAGTTACGGTAACATCTTTATTAGTTTTACTTTTAATCTAATTTATAAATGCAATTTGTTATTATTTTTATATGGGTAATCTTACTTACTTAAAGTTTAGGTTTCATTATGGAATAATATTTGAGGGTAATATTAAAGATTTTGCTTTCTTCTTATATATATCACATACATATTCATGTAAATTAAATTTAATTATATATATATATATATATATATATATATATATATATATATATATATATATATATATATATATATATGCAGGGTGTCCATAAAGTTCGTGTGCACGTTAAAAAATTATAACTTTATTTATATTTGCGATATAAATAATTTGTAAAAAAGAATTAGAAAGAAGTGAATCTATATTTTTTAAGGTTTTATTGAAATTTTATTTAAGTTTCCACATGTCCTCCATCATTAGCAATACAAAGGGTAATACGATTTTGCAGTTCACGGAAAACATTTGCCAACTGATTTACAGTAATGCCCGAAATCACATTAGTTATTTTAGCTATACTTAAAACTAGGTACATTAAACTTTATAACATTCTTTACAGATTATTTCTATCACAAATACAAATAGAGTTATAAATTATTTACAGTGCACACGAACTTTATGGAACCCTCTCTCTCTCTCTCTCTCTCTCTCTCTCTCTCTATATATATATATATATATATATATATATATATATATATATATATTGGGCAGCAATTCCTGAATCCACATGTCCCTTAGGGAACTGTGTTCCTGATGAAACCAAATTTATGAATATTGGGCATACCACTACATGCTTATCGAGAAGACTCACCTTACATCTCTCTGACGATAACTAAATTAGGATTCATTTAAACACACACAGAAACCTATCAAACTCCATACGCAACAGACTTGTAGAAGATACATATAAAATGACATCATCCACATGTAAAAGAAAAGACTAAAAATAATGGAAGCACTAATAATAAAAAAGAAAAAGCCA